GGTGTTTTGACAACTAATTCTAGGAAGATGCTTTTGAAATTTTGAGTTACTTCTATTTTGATTAGCTTACAGTTTGAATTAAAATGTACTGAATGTTCATCGATAATTCAAATAATTCAACTTCATTTTGAAAATGGCTATCACAAACACTACTTCTCTGATCTGCGCTATGCGGAATGTAAAATCAATACACATCTACATGAGACAGCAGTTTCTACGTTATGCTTTTATTCCCCAGACATGCCTGAGATCCATATCAACGGGAGTACTATAATCCTGGTTTCAGGGGTTTCCTCCCATCCCCCGGTTGAAGAGAAAATAAATACTGTGTTTAAAATATTTCATGAATGAACATTTTTCAATGCTTTATACTACGATTTTTACAATGTTTATTAAAGAGGTAAAAGCCCGAGTGTATTGAAAGTATCCTGGTATCTCATCTCGGCCCACAACAAACTTGGACTATAATAAACTCGGCCTATTACATAATCGGCATCAGAAAATCGGACTATAACAAAATTCGTAATTACACTATTTGCTATTAAGTCTCCCAAACAAAGTTTGGAGACTTATTGTTTTGCTCAGTTCTTATTATTTTTCTTCTTGAGGTCTATTTAGGGGTATTTTGAGGGGCCAACAGAAGGGAAGGATTTACTATAGAACCAGCTATGGGATTTATTTATTTTTTAATTTTCAAATGACTATATCTTGAAAACAGTAAGTGATAGACACACACGGTTTTCAGTAATGATCACAGGATCATAAAACAAATCAACTGAAATATAGCAGGAGTCCCTCTGGATCAGCCCCACCCCTCCTGTTTGAGAACTCATTAATGTAAACGGTTCAGATCCCCACCCCTAAAACATATATATTCTTGTATGGGACGATAAAACAAGTCAAATGATATATAGGGGGAGTCCTTGGGTGTCACCCCCCACCCCATCCTGTTTTGAGAACTTGTAAACGGTCAAGATCCCCACCCCTAAACCATATGTATTCTTGAATGGGATAATAAAACAAATCAAATGAAATAAAAGGCGAGTCCCCTGGGGTCACTCCCACCCCTTTCCTGTTTAAGAACTTGTAAACAGTCGAGATCCCCACCCATAAACGATATATATTCTTGTATGGGACAATAAAACAAATCAAATGAAATATAGGGGGAGTCCCTGGGTGTCACCCCCACCCCATCCTGTTTTGAGAACTTGTAAACAGTCGAGATCCCCACCCATAAACCATATATATTCTTGAATGGGACAATAAAACAAATCAAATGAAATATAGGGGGAGTCCCTGGGTGTCACCCCCACCCCATCCTGTTTTGAGAACTTTTAAACGGTCGAGATCCCATCCCTAAACCATATATATTCTTGTATGGGACAATAAAACAAGTCAAATGAAATATAGAGGGAGTCACTGGGTTTCACCCCCACCCCATCCTGTTTAGAACTTGTAAACCGTCAAGATCCCCACCCCGAAACCATATATGTTCTTGTACAGGACAATAAAACAAATCAAATGAAATAAAAGGTGAGTCTCCTGGGGTCACTCCCACCCCCTTCCTGTTTAAGAACTTGTAAACGGTCGAGATCACCACCCATAAACCATATATATTCTTGTATGGGACAATAAAACAAATCAAATGAAATATAGAGGAAGTCAACAGGGGTCACCCTACCCCCTTCTTTTTGAAAACCTGTAAACGGTTGAGATCCCCACCCCTAAACCATATATATTCTTGTATGGGACAATAAAACAAATCAAATGAAATATAGGGGAGGTCCCTGGGTGTCACCCCACCCCATCCTGTTTTGAGAACTTTTAAACGGTCAAGATCCCCACCGCCAAACCATATATATTCTTGTATGGGACAATAAAACAAATCAAATGAAATAAAAGGGGAATCCCCTGGGGTCACTCCCACCCCCTGCCTAGGAATGACTAATTATGGGAGCTTTGTTTGGGAGACTTCGTCACAGCATCATGTTCCAATTATTTCTTGTATTAAGTAATTATACGACCGCAAAAAAATTTTGCGATCGTATATTGGTATGATGTTGGCGTCGTCGTCGTCTGAAGACACATTGGTTTTCGCACTCTAACTTTAGTTTAAGTGAATGATCTCTATGAAATTTTACCATGAGGTTCAATACCACAACAGAGAGGTTGGGATTGATTTTGGGGGTTATGGTACCAACAGTTAAGGAATTAGGGGCCAAAAAGGGGCCAAAAATAAGCATTTTTGTAACTTCCAGACATAACTTGTGTGTTAGTGTATGGATCTCTCTGACATTGTACCACAAGGTTCCATATCACAAAGGGAATGCTGGGATTGATTTTAGGGGTAATTGCCTCAAAATTTTACGAATTAGGGGCCAAAAAAGGGGCAAAAAACAAGCATTTTTATATGGACAAATACTTTAGTACAAAACATAATTTAAAGCAGTGTAAGGGAGATAAATCAAATACATCATTTGAATTACCTCCCTTACAATGCTTTTAAATTATGTATAAAGTAATGGTTAATGAACAATTAAGACAATTTAAAACAGTGTAAGGGAGGTAATCCGCATACAGCGTTTTGATTACTTCCCTTACACTGCTTTTAAATTATGATTAAAGAAATACATATTTATAAAGGAAGACCAGTAAAAATATCTGCAAATGTTGCATCTTTTTTTTTTTTTAACAAAAAAATTCATATGAAAGATTTGACACCATATTTTAAATTCTATTATAAAATAGATTAAGTTAGCACTATGGTAAATTTAAATGGGTAATTATGGTTGCAAATTCCATTGGAAATTTGAATTGAGATTATGACCATATCTTGAGGGAAAGAATTTTTTGGGGAAAAAGGGAGGGGGGGGGGGGGGGATAAAAAGAAATTGTTGGGGGTCAATTTTTTCTCATTTCAGATTTCAGAAATTAAAAAGAAATTAATCTTCAAATTTTTTTTTTTTTTTTCAAATTTCAAATATTGAAAAATTTCAAGAAGTAATCTTTAATTGCACAGTATGGCGCATTAGATTTGTAAAATCTTTGACCACATTTATTTATTTGTTTTGCCAAATCTGACTGTGTGTTTAGATTTTTAATTTTGGGTCCAGTTTTCAAATTGGTCTACATTAAGGTCCAAAGGGTCCAAAATTAAACTTAGTTTGATTTTAACAAAATTTGAATATATGGGGTTCTTTGATATGCTGAATCTAAACATGTATTTAGATTTTTGATTTCGGGCCCAGTTTTCAAGTTGGTCCAAATTGGGGTCCAAAATTAAACTTTTTTTTGTTTGATTTCAACAAAAATTGAATATATGGGGTTCTTTGATATGCTTAATCTAACCATGTATTTAGATTTTTTATTTGTGGACCCCGCCCCGCTATCAAATTGGTTCATATTGAGGTCAAAAGGGTCCAAAATTAAACTTTGTTTTATTTCATCAAAAATTGAATTATTGGGGTTCTATGATATGCCAAATCTAACCGTGTATTTATATTTTTAATTTAGGTCCCGTTTTTTAAATTGGTCTACATCAAGGTCCAAAGGGTCCAAAATTAAACTTAGTTTGATTTTAACAAAAATCGAATATATGGGGTTCTTTGATATGCTGAATCTTAACATGTATTTAGATTTTTGATTTTGGGCCCAGTTTTCAAGTTGGTCCAAATTGGGGCCCAAAATTAAACTTTGTTTGATTTCAACAAAAATTGAATATATGGGGTTCTTTGATATGCTGAATCTAACCATGTATTTAGATTTTTTATTTGTGGGCCCTGCTATCAAATTGGTTCATATTGAGGTCAAAAGGGTCCAAAATTAAACTTTTGTTTTATTTCATCAAAAATTGAATTATTGGGGTTCTTTGATATGCCAAATCTAACCGTGTATTTAGATTTTTAATTTTGGGTCCCGTTTCTTAAATTGGTCTACATTAAGGTCCAAATTAAAGTGTCCAAAATTAAACTTAGTTTGATTTTAACAAAAATTGAATTCTTGGGGTTCTTTGATATGCTGAATCTAAACATGTGTTTAGATTTTTGATTATGGGCCCAGTTTTCAAGTTGGTCCAAGTTGGGATCCAAAATTAAACTTTGTTTGATTTCAACAAAAATTGAATATATGGGGTTCTTTGATATGCTGAATCTAACCATGTATTTTGATTTTTGGGCCCCATTATCAAATTGGTCCACATTGAGGTCAAAAGGGTCCAAAATTAAACTTTGTTTGATTTCATCAAAAATTGAATTCTTTGGATTCTTTGATATGCTGAATCTAACCATGTATTTAGATTTTGGATATTGGACCATAATAGGTAAATTAAAAAAATTAAGTTCTTAGACCACATTCATTCTGTGTCAGAAACCTATGCTGTGTCAAATATTTAATCACAATCCAAATTCAGAGCTGTATCAAACTTGAATGTTGTGTCCATACTTGCCCCAACTGTTCAGGGTTCGACCTCTGCGGTCGTATCAAGCTGCGCCCAGCGGAGCATTTTATTTTTTTTTAAAGTTGGAAAAAAAGTTAAACACCCAATCTACACATTTACAACCTATTTGAAATATTACACATCTACCGTTGCAAACTTTCCACAGGTGCTATCCAGCACTTTGATTTTTTTTTTGGGGGGGGAGGGGGGGGGGGGGGTCTATTGAATATAAATTCAAATCATATAACCAATTCTAAGTTCTTTGACTACAGTTATTCTGTGTCAGAAACCTATTATGTGTCAAATATTTAATGATAATCTAAATTTAGAACTGTATCAAGCGCGAATATTGTGACCATTTTTGCCCCAACTGTTCAGGGTTGGACCTCTGTGGTTGTATCCAGCTGCGCTCGATGGAGCAATTTATTAGCTCTTTTCATAGTGTAGAGATTCTAAAACTGCTTAGAGATTTGCATTAAACTACAGCACACACAAGTTTTGGCAGTCTCCTTTGGGAACGTTATGTATTTATATTCATATCTTTGCTTTCTGTTATTATTTACAGTGGCAACTTGTCCTACTCCAAATCAGGGGTCTATTGATCGATCAACTAATATTTACCCAGCTGGGTCCTCAGTTGAGTACAGGACAGAAGTGAATATAGAATGCCAGTATGGATCAAAGAAGATTAACAGGACACTGTATTGCTCTTACAATGTCATGACTGGTGGATATGAGCTTCTTGGAGATGCACCAGAATGTCCAGGTTAGATGTATTTTGTTTTTGTAAAATTAAGGAAAAAAGCTCAGGAGACAGTATCTCATATTTCTGAAGTAAAAGCAAATAAACTACCAAAGATATTTAAACATTCATAAAGGTTAATATATTAAACTCAGCAAAAACAGATCTTAAGGTGGACAAATAAAACAAAAAGAAAATTGTGAACGAAAAAAAAAGACATTTCCAGAAATCTAATAAGGAAAAATTGATACATTGTACTACAAGTACACAATATATGGCCAATGGAATGTCAAATGTCAAATGTCAAATTTCTGGCTTTGAAAACACACTATTAAATACAGCAAGGATAACTTGTGTATAACATGTCCCTTTCTCCTTTTTTGTTGTGTTTAATGGGATATGGAGGAAAGATATAGTTGAACTTTAATTAGATATGTTAGATGTAATTATACCTCACGGAACAAAGTTCGGTTGGGTATAATGTTTTTGACCCGTCCCTTCATCAGTTCGTCTGTCAGTCAGTCAGTCCGTCCGTCCGTCCGTCTGTCCGTCTGTCCGTCTGTCTGTCTGCCTGTCAGTCTGTCCGCCAGTCCTGTTCTTGTAATTGCAACTCCTCTGAAACCACACAACAGAATTTCCTGAAACTATGTAGATAATAAGTACATAATATGTAGATGTTCATATCCACAGGAAATTCTGATTCTATTTTATTCTAGGAGTCATGCCCCTTTGAACTTAGAATTTGACCTAATTATACTACTGCAACAGTTTGTCGTGGCAACTCCTCTGAAACCACACAACAGAATTTTATAAAACTTTGTAGATAATGAGGACATGATATGTAATTGTGCATATCCACAAAAAGTTATCATCACTGCATTTTCTAGGAGTTATAACCCCTTGAACTTAAAATTTTGGCTTTAAAAAATACTACTGCAAAAATTTGTCATTGCAACTCCTCTGAAACCACACTACAAAATTTCCTGAATCTTTGTAGATAACAAGGACATAATATGTAAATGTGCATACCCACAAAAAATTATTATCAATTGATTTTTAGAGGAGTTATGAATTTGAACTTAGGAATCTAGTGAGATTTTGTTTGCCCACTGACAATTTGGGGGCGTGGGGTATGTGAGCATGCTCACAAAGGTTCTTTAATTAATAAAGTCTCCTGCAGTAGTTCATGACATTCTCTTTCTTACTATATGAATAAAAGAGATGATGGGTTATACATCAAAGCAAGGCTTCCAAAACGGTCATATATGCCGGACATTTGTATAATGTCCGGATAAAGTCCGGCTGGGAAAAGCATGAAACAGTCATCTACTTTTTAATTTTCAAGGCTTTCTTAAGAGACGGTCATTTTAACATAATTCGCGATCTTTTTGATCCAACCTTTTGCCTTTAACAACCACACATTTCCGATCATATAAGTGACATGATCATTAACCCTTTCACCGATAGCTGCCCAGACAGAAGCTACTCTGAGACGATGGTTTCCCTGGCTACTATTACTCAAGTGGGAGATCTTCATAATAAATGTCAATAAAAACTTGTCTGTAGTTATTTTTGTCTTTATTTCATTCACTAACACCATGTTCACAGTTTTGTTCATGTTTTGATAATTTTTTCTTCATAAAATATTCAAATTTTCTGCATTATCTAGGTGAATTCTCAAAATTCTGCTCTTTGACCCAAAATCGTAATTTTTTAACCCAAAACGGCAAAATTTTGAAAAATTTAATGAGGCTGTACAAATTCCTTACACTGAACGATGTCCATTCCAAGTGTTTTGTACATAAAACGACATTTTATGTCAAAAAAATATACTAGTTTGGCTTCAATTCTTCCATATTCTTTCAAAAAAAATGTTCCCTCATTTCAAATTCTCGTAAATTCCGTAAATTTCCTCTGATTTTGACACAGTTTTCAACAAACGGAAACGCCATGTTAACACTTACATCCGGGTATTCAACAAAGAAAGATAACTCGTTTTTGCACTGTTTTGAGCGGGAAATATAAAAGAGGTATTCCGATCCCGGTAAAACGGGACTCATCGTCAGCTGTCTGAAGCGTGATTCCCGGTAAACCGGAACTCATCGGCGAAAGGGTTAAGTACTATCAAAACAACCCCTACTTTAATACCTTCTCATTTTAATAAAGGCTAATTAGTTGTCGAACAGCTGAAATTTACCTGTTCAGGTGACAGGTAAACTATTTTGAACCGGATCGATCTATTCAAAGTTATTTTCTTACATTTCAGCGGTTTGCCGGCATCTAATTAATTTAGTCAAAAGGATTTAAATTATCAGAAATACGTTTACAAATATGATTTGATGAAAAAATTTTAAAAGGTGAAAATGAAAAATCGTCATAACCACGTTGTTTGAACCAGAGACATGTCTCTGTTTGAACAGTACACGTGTGCGCATGTGCAAAGGTGTGAAATTTAATTATGCATCCTAATTTCTCCAAAAAATGCTTAAATTGCCATTGATACCTTTATCTCACGTTTATTTCGAATATTTTCTTGAAGAAATAACGTAGAAAGAGCTACATACACTCATTCATGCTTTGCAAACGTACACGGAATTTACATATCCGTCTCTGGTCCATGTTTTACCATTGTCAAGATAACATCCGGTATATTAGATTTGAAAACGAAAGTAAAGTTTTTGACAACGTTATTTTGCACAAATAAAGAGTCTATAAGTACGCTGATGTTGCACACTTCGAATGATGCACTGTCAATTTAACAGTTTACGTCAGAACTTCGAATTTGAATCAAAGAAAGTTTAATATCGTTTTTTTTTTTAATGTCAATCATTGGGATGGCCAACTCGGCAACTGATTACCATAATTGCCTTTTGTTTATTTTGTCTTAAGGGATTAAAATCGGGAAAATATATAAAATGTCCGGCTGGCTAAAAATAATTTTGGAAGCCTGCATCAAAGGAACACTTGTTAAATGATACACAGAAAAACAAAACAGAAGTCATTTTGTGACCAATTTTCTACCTTCCTTTCATTCAGTATTTCTGACCTTTTTTTTTAAATAAAAAATCTGCTTATACATACATTCATACTGTAGCTTTAGCATGTTAGAATGATTTTTATGTCTCTCCTCGATGAAGTTGAAAAAAATTGTCTTGGGTGTGCTGTTCATAGTGGAGGCGGCATCAACAATGTATTAGTTTGTGATTAGTTCAGTTTAAAGGAAGTCACCAATGGTAGGTCATTTATATTTAATATGTAACTGTATTAGCATTGGCACATCCCATTTCAAAGAGAGATTATTTGACCCAGACCCTCAGTTATGGCTTATTGACTTTGTAACATTTGCTTTAATAGGTAACATGTATTAGTTTGTGATTAGGTCAGTTCAAGGAGAAGAACTAGTGGTAGGTCATTGATATACCTAATATCATTGACCTACCACTAGTGTTTCTCTATAAACTAACCTAAGGCCAAAAAAAAATATATCTGTTTAAGGTTACATCATTAAAAAAAAGTGGGGCAGGTAGGTCGGTATTTCTATTTCATGTTATTTTTTCATTTTATTTTTTGCAACATGATTATGAGTTGTTCCGTTCGTCTTGCCGTGGTCCGAGTTGTCCATGGGGCGAGTTTACCCATATTTTTAATGAATGGATTATTTCCCTTTGTTTATTAAATATTGACTGGGGAAAAAATGGCGGCAAAGTGTTTATTTCATCACACGAGTCGTGAATTTCCTTAAAACATCTGTCATATTCACATTTGTGAACATTAGGATGTATCAGGCAATTGATTTTTTTTATTGACAACTCTAACTTCGCTTTTGACACAAGTTCAATTAATTTTTCACTTTACGACAGAATTAAATGATTTAGGGTTGGCGCTCAAAAGCAGGGTCGGTCGGGTAACTGTAAACAGACATATTATTTTTTTGGCCTAATCACAAACTTACACATTGTTGACACCACCACGTTGGGAAACAGTATGCCAAAGACTCACCTTTTCAACTTCATCTAGGCGAGACAACTACATAAAGGTGATCTGTGTCTATAGTTCACCTTTGGTTTGAAGTTGTAGTGAAGTGAATTTAAGTTCTTGTGGCTACCTTTAGTTTCCTTACACTACAAACCAGTAAAAGTTTGAAATGGCCTATATCTGTACTCGACTGTACCGATTTTTACTCGACCAGTCTGAATTGGTCTGAAATTTACTTGATAATACTTGACTGTAGTCTGAACCATACTTAACAGTCTGAACTTGTACTCGACCCTTACTCGACCAGTATGCGTCTGAACCATGCTCGACCTAGTCTGATTCATACTCGACCTAGTCTGAACCATACTCGACCTAGTCTGAACCATACTCGACCAAGTCTTAATCAACCTAGACCTATTTTTTGTATCTATCTATTGTATTTCATCAATTTAGGAACTGTTTTGAACAACAGCTATTTCCCCTGGCTAGAAATTTGAACAACAATTTGAAATTAAAAATGTATTCAATATAGCATTGAAACCAAAATTTCACAATAAACATAATATAACTTCATCACCATATTCATCAACACTTATATACATACATATATATCACCTTTAAAATAAAAATAAAACAAGCTGATCAAATAATCTCAAAACTGAATTGTGACTAATATTTTCAATGTTATTCAAAATTTTTTGAATGTTTCAGATATATTTTATGGTTACTGGACAATTTTCACCATTAACTTAAGCCTCGTATAGATTTATGGTGTCAGTTGAGTTTAGTTAATAATGCAGTAATCATTTTTTTTATTAAAATATATATAAAATAGCATATAAAGCAACTTGATAAATTTAAAAAATGACACCTTTGTTTTGTTAAACCAAGAATTTAATATAATCATGATAATAGAACTTCTATAGTAATCCTGTGATAAACTTTTAAAAAGGGAAATGTGTTCCAAAGTTACAGTAAAAATTTATTCCAATTAAATTTTTAAAAAAATTTGTCAAAATTAAAGACATGGCATACAAGAAGCACTTTAATAAGGTTTAATTACCTCAGTACATGTGTGTTTTACAGGTAAAAAGAAAGCCCTATTTTTCTTAAACTCGTGTATAATACTTATCTAGTGAATTCAAAAGGCCTTGCGATTTAAGTTTCACAGGATGTTGCAATTTTGAATGAATGTTATTTAGAATTTAATACTCATTGACCAGGTGTGATCTTTTTCATGAGTTTACCCCAAACAGGAAGTATTACTTTATACTTCACCACTAATCAGAAGAACAATTTTATTAATTTCTTTAATTTTTATCCCTTTTTGATATATATCGTATATAATATATCCCAAATTATAATAATAGATATATTTCTATAATAAGGTTAAACAATTTCAGTGATTTTGTTGGCTGTTGTTACCTCATTAAAAAGATAATTATATAACTATTGTACATTTTTTGTATGTAACCATGAAACCTATGTAGTTTCTGTCTCTAAAAACACCGCAAAGGACCTCCTTTGTGCACAAAGGAGCACAAAGGACCACAAAGGAGTATGATAAGTGCACAAAGGACCTGAAATTGTTTATTAAATGGGGGGAAAGGCATTTCTCACGAAAAAAATATTGTTTTTTTTATTAAAATACTCGAGTTAAATCGGTATAAAGTTGAAGATTTACGAAACCGTGTTCCGTAACCGGTACGGATATGTATAAGATTACGGCCATTTTCGATAAGATGTTAGTATACCTATAATTATATTTTGAAAAGTATTGAGAAAACATGAATATATAAATAAAGACTGGACATTAAACCGGAGAGAAAAAATTAAGCTAACACTGTTTGTAAAGATTTCAATTTCACACAATTAATAAGTTATGTATAATGAGGACTTTTATTAAAGAGGGACTATTCTGCTTCGAGAAACAAGTGAAAGGCAAAAAAACATACGTGCCTTACAATCCTCAACCAGATCCAGACTCCGTTTTAACACTTAACCGTTACTACATCTCTCTTAAAAGGGACAAAACTTTCAAGAAACGAGTCAGTGCATTTAACAAACTACCATCAACATTTCAGAATCGCCAACATATAGCCGTTGTCGAGTATACAGGTTCATGTCCAACTACCAACACAACACATGGTAATGCCAAACACGTCTCACATGAGTTTATACGTACAGACCCTTCAGTAATGAATCGTATAACCGAGGGACTCAATAATAAGAAATCCTGCATCGAAATATATCAGGACATGGTTCTTAAAGACCCTGATAACGCACCGAAAGATCTTCAACAAGTCCATACAAAAAAACATTACAACAAAAACAGATTACTGCACAAAGCACATAAAAGACAATGTAACAGATTACACAAAAAACAAGCTGCCTCTAACATCTAATCAAAGATCGCAGATTATGTCCGACATTTTTAACAACAATGGCATAGCAACAGCTGATAACACCATAGATTTCGACACCAAGTCCAATGAACTTTGTAACAGCTTTCCGTGTTTTGCCAATTATTATGAGATAAGACTTAAAAACCGCTTGTTCAATTATGTTAATCAACCCTATCGCAAATATGACTCTAACAGACTCTGGACAAACAATAACTGTGAGTCCATGAACCACCGGTTTAAGGTAGCACTGAACTGGAAACCACATCAATTACCAGAACGTTTAGACAAAATATACAATGTGATACAACTTCACCACACAGATTTAAGACGCAGTATAGTTGGAAACGGCAATTATGAACTTTTCGGAAATTTCAAAAAACACAGAATACAACATTCCAAATGGCACAGTCTTTCCCAAATTGAAAAAGCAGTGCTTTACCGAAAGCTTGCCAGTGACAAATGGTTTTGCAATACCAAAAGTTAAACGTCTCGCCAAGAAGCCTGGTCAACGTCACCGGCCAAAGACAGCTGCAGTGAGGACAAAACCAAAATTTTAAATGTTATTGTTAAATCATATGTATTTTTCTATCATGTTTATTTAATTTTAATAAATCATAATTGAAAATATAAAGTTTTGACTTTTTTGTTATAATGCAAGTATTCTTACTTCACTTAAAAATATTATCATACGTATAAAGAAAACGAAGTGATGATATATGAGACAAAAAAAACCAACAACACATTGCTATCCTATATAATTTTCGAAGTTTTGGTAATGCTTTACCCTTGAAAAATTACAACAATAAGATACCAAGAATAATAATTGACGTTTTTATCAGTTATGTTACATTTTCAAATCACTTAACCCGGATATAAAGTCGGTTCCAAAACGATACCGATGAAAACTACAAATCGTACATTATTAAAATCGCAATTTTTATTGAAATTGTTTGGGTTTTTTTTACATTTTTCTTCATGAATTATAATATTTTTATGTTTTGAAATGAATTTCAGGTCCTTTGTGCTCTTAAGAAACTCCTTTGTGGTCCTTTGTGCTCCTTTGTGCACAAAGGAGGTCCTTTGCGGTGTTTTTAGAGACCCATGTAGTTTTTATTTAGGAATTTAGGAAAATTAATTTAAAAAAAAAACACATGCCAAACAAGAAGCACCTTAATAAGGTTTAATTACCCTCAGTATAGGTGTGGTTTTTAGGTAAAAGAAAATCTTTTTTTAACAAAACTCTAAAACTTTAAAATTAATATAATTAAATTATTATATAAGATAATTTGATTTAATTATATAACTATCTCTATTCGATAAATCTGAGAATCATGTAAGAATGTAAAAATCTGTTTTTATAATATATCTTTATTTTATTGTGGCTGTTGTCATGTCAGTTAAAAAGAAATTTATTTTAACAGTTAAAATTTAGAAAAAGTAGAGGTTATTTGGTCAAGTATGGTTCAGACTGGTCGAGTATTGTTCAGACCTTTGGTCGAGTATGGTTTAGACTGAAAAAAATAGGTCGAGGATGGGTTAAGACTGTTTCAGACTGGTCGAGTAATAGTTCAGACTATTTTCAATGGCAAAGATAAGGGTCAAGTACAAATCAGTACAGTCGATTATGGTTAAGACTGGGGTCGAGTAATGTCGAGTAAATTTCAGACCAATTCAGACTGGTCGAGTAAAAATCAGTACAGTCAAGTACAGATATAGGCCATTTCAGACTTTTACTGGTTTGAAGTGTTATAAGTTGAGCATTTGAAATGCAGTTATAATTGAAAACAACAGCTTCAGACACATCCTTCTAAATCTTGTTTTGTGTAATACATTTCTACATATTTTCTGTAACCAAGAAAACAGAGTAAAAAAATGTGAAGAATTTTCCATCATCTGTTTTAGTTAATCTAGTTCAAGTATTAAATGTATGTCTTTATTAAGTTTTAACACATGTTTTTTATTGTCTTTAGAAATAGACTGTGGAGAGCCCGAAAATGTTCCAGGAAGAACGGACTCTGGACTGACTAACACTAATCTTGCATCTACTTTCACTTTTGACTGTAAAACTGGTTTTGATAGATCAGGGCTGTCATTGGATGGAACATATACTGTTACTTGTCAGGAAAATGGAAGATGGAATATAGGAAATTTGACTTGTACAGGTATGATATTAAAGAACATCAAAGTGATATCATGGTACTGTAAATGCCAACTTATTTACGTGGATACTTTATTTTTTTATCTTTCTAGCCAACTCAGCAGTGATTTATTTTCACAATTTTCTAATTTTTTTTATGTATTTCTATAATGAAAGACCCAAGTTTTACATACTTACGACAATAAATTGCTCATGAAAAATAATGAATATTTACAAATACAAATGCAGGTGACATGCATGTATATGTAAGCGTACTTTCATTCCGCCGTGTATTTATTCTGGGTAACTGTTTTTCACTAGAGAATATTGGATGTAAATAGTGTGAAAGCATCGATCTTGATATTGTTGTTTTGTTTATATTAGACCGGTTTATTGTTTACATAAATAAATGGGTTAAAATTAAATTATGTATGGATCTAAAGCACTAGTGTAATTAATCCCGGTATAGAATAACTAGTGCAATCATTCTGGTACAAAATCACTAGTTTAATCATTCCTGGTTCAAAAACACTAGTGTGAACATTCCTTGGATGAAAACTTTCCACTTTTTAGCTCACCATCCCGAAGGAACGGTGAGCTTTAGCCATCACTTCGCGTCCGTCGTCATCCGTCTGGTGTAAACTATTTCAAACATCTTCTCCTCTGAAAGTACTGAACCAATTCCAACCAAACCTAAGCTGAATGATCCTTAGGGTATCTAGAATACAGTGTTTTATTTTCTGTTTCGTCAAAAAAAAAAAAGGCCATCACGGCTAAAAATAGAACATAGGGGTAAAATGCAGTTTTTGGCTTATATCTCAAAAACCAAAGCAGTTAGAGCAAATCTGACAATGGGGAAAAATGTGTTTATAAGGTATAGTTCTATCAGCCATGAAATTTTCAGATGAATGTAATAACCCATTGTTGGGTTGCTGCCACTATATTGGTGATTTTAGGTAAATTTTGCAGTTTTTGGTTATTATCTTGAATAGTATTAATGATAAAGATAAACTGTAAACAGCAAATATGTTCAGCAAAGTAAGATCTACAAATAAGTTTTGTATGACCAAAATTGTCAATTGACCTCTTGAGGAGTATTGCCTTTTGAGGACAATTTTACACAATTTGTTTATCATAGATATAAGAAGATGTGGTATGAGTGCCAATGAGACAACTCTCCATCCAAGTCAAAATTTATAAAAGTAAACCATTATAGGTCAAAGTACGGTCTTCAACAAGGAGCCTTGGCTCACACCGAACAGTAAGCTGTAAAGAGCCCCAAATATTACTAGTGTAAAACCATTCAAACAGGAAAACCAATGGTCTAATCTATATAAAAAACGAGAAAGGAGAAACACTTATGAACCACATCAACAAACGACAACTACTGAACATCAGATTCCTGTTTTCTAACTTTAAAAAATCTTCTCCTCTGAAACTACTGAACCAATTCCCACCAAACTTAAGCTGAATGATCCTTAGGGTATCTAGAATAAAGATTGTGTTTTATTTTCTGTTTCGTCAAAAAACATGACCGCCATGGCTAAAATTAGAACATAGGGGTAAAATGCAGTTTTTGGCTAATATATCTCAAACACTTAAGCAATTGGAGCAAATCTGATGAGAGTTAAAAATGTTCATTAGGCCAAGTTCTATCAGCCATAAAATTTTCAGACGAATCTAACAGTCCATTGTTGGGTTGTTGCCACTAAATTGGTAATTTTAAGGAATTTTGCAGTTTTTGGTTATTATCTTGAATATTATTAATGATAATGATAAACTGTGAACAGCAAAAATGTTCAGCAAAGTAAGATCTACAAATAAGTTAATATGACCGAAATTGTTGAATTGTGTTCTTATGGAGTTATTGCCCTTTAAAGACAATTTTTCACAATTTGTTCATCTAGTTCATGTAGTTTGCTTACTTTAAAAAATCTTCTCCTTTGAAACTGCGGAATCAATTTCAGCCAAACTTGGGCTGAATGAGTTTCAGAGTATCTATTATAAATTTTGTATTTTATTTCCTTGTACGTTAAGAAACATAGCCACTATGGCTTAAATGGAACATAGGGATAAAATGCATTTTTTTTGTTTTTGAAGAAAATATGACAGATACAAAGAACGTTTAAATGGCATTTTTAAGCTACTCATTAATATATATTGAAAAGAAAAATAATCATTGATGAAAGATTTAAGCAAAAAATTTCAGGTGAGCGATTCAGGCTCTTGAGAGCCTCTTGTTATATAAACCAGCTATGCAAGTTTCAAATACACTAAAAACTATTAAGCCACATTTTATTTATATTTCCCCTTCAAAAAACCATTTTTAGAGCCTTTATAATGACTGGTGGATGTTTTACACTGGACCCGGATTGAAAAAACTAGTGAATTTTTGTTGGTGGATAAAAATCACTGGTGGAATCAAACCACTGTTACATATACACAGTTGAATAGATATTTTCCAATACTAAAAGCTGAACATACAGGTTCATTTGTCCCCAGAGTCACTGACAACAAAGGTTTGTGGTGGGGATGGTGGCAGATAATAAAATTCTTGTAAACTAAATAATCAATAAGCACTATACTCTGCACTTGCAGCAAACAATGAAAGCATTGAAATATGAGAAGTCTGTACATTGAAACGAAAGAGAGGCTGGAATGACCACGCAGATGAAATTCTTTGAGGGGCACCAATGGGGACATAACATCTATAAACCATAATTATTAATATAATTGCCAATATATGTTTTTTCCAATGTTCTGCTTTGTTTTAGATTGTTTGAATGCAGTAATAAGATTATTTAATCAGATAATTGCTTATTTAATATTCCTTGTAAGAGAACACCATGTATACCTTATTATGACAATTAATTTAATGTAACTTGTGAGATCAGTTGTGATTTGCTGTCATTTGACTCGGTAAACTCGTTTGTTTGTTTATTTTTTTGTCATTTTTGACTTTTTTTCTAATTTCTAGAAGAAAAAAAAAAGAACCTTTTGTTTATGATACTGACTTTATCACGTGTGGAGCAGGATCTGCTTACCCTTCCGGAGCACCTGAGATCACCCCAAGTTTTTGGTGGGGTTTGTGTTGCTCTGTCTTTAGTTTTCTATGTTGTGTTTTGTGTACTGTTGTTTGTCTGTTGGTCTTTTTCTTTTTTAGCCATGGCGTTGTCAGTTTATTTTCAACTTACCGTTAAAAGGCATGTATAGTCCACGGTTTTATTCTCCAAAATTGACCCTGACAGTAGGGGTGCGGACTATAGAGTACAATAAGCAAGAAATAAGAGAGAAAATTTCAATTTTGCTATGTGGTTTGTTTACATTCCGCCATGTTTGTTATTGACATTGTAGAGGGCGCTCTTATCATTTTTCAAACCAACAATTTTACCCAATCCATATTAATAAGTTATTTTTATTCAATATCAAATTAATACTGATAAATTTAAAAATTAAATGCTTCATTACAAAATTCTTGTTTCTTTTCAATGCATTGCTAAATATAAACTGGTATCTGCTTGAATGAAATCGTACAAAAAAAGTAAAAAAAGACAACCGTAAACCAGCTTATGATGTGTCAACTACAAAATGTAATCGGTTATTATTCGTTCTGTTTTGGTGTTTCCTATTGACAAATATGTTTTGTATTAGCTTAAGACCCTTCAAACATTAATGTGATAGATATATTAAACACTGTTTTACATTAGGAGGGAACTGTTTTACTTTCAAAGTCGTATTATAGTGATATCTATTATGTACAGATTTCGACTCTCACCGGGTTTTTTCATCTTTTACACGTGCTTTTCAAACTTCCGGTTGAAACATACACAAGTTTCTAAATAGTTTTTTGTGTGATTTAGACTTATTTTAAACAGCGTGAAGTGTTTTAGAACCATTTACAAGCAGTTTCAGCTTCTGTTTGGTGATGGAAAAAAGGTTTTTCCAAGAAAATACTGCAAACGACCACACATGATTTAAAATTACTGGAGTTTCATTAGACCTTTTCTAACAGTAACAAAAATTACCTGAAATTTTGTGGGGAGAAGGGGGGGGGGGCGGACTCTGTACCAGTGCGAACTATACAAGCTGGATTACGGTACGAGTTTGGATGTACCTTTGGTACCTTTTGCCTTTCTTTTTTCATAAAAATCTCTGCCCCTCAAGGGAGATGTCACCATGACAGACCTGCCAATTATCCTGATTTTGGCAGAAATATCCTGATTTTTATGCCTCAATCAAACTGAATCCCAATATATGTATTGTAAAATGAGCCAAAATCCCAATTTTCACAAAATGTACCAAAAAAATTTGATTATTCCCCATTTTTAACTTTTCCCAAAGGAGACATTCCTAATCAGTGATAATTAGCCAATCAAATTCGGTATCTTCTGTGGCCACATTTTGATCTCCTTATCAATGGGGGGTATTGTTAAGTGCAAATATTTCAAATTAATCCACAAAACTTGTCCCACCCAGATCCTCCCTTATTTGATGTTGATTAATAAGGCCAGTGGTACCAATAACCAGGTTGCTATCCCTTTGGTGCCCGAACCAAATGCTGCAGACAAAGGCACTTGGTTTACACTAATCAGAGTTAAGTAACAGGACCAAGACATATGCTAACTGGTTATTGTATTAAGTACAAACTGAACAAACACAGGTTTGGGAGAAGAATCACAGTTTAATATTTTCTTTGCATATCAATAAGCAATAAACATATTTACAAAGAAAGCAAAATCAAGTTGAAAAACTGTGGTAGTCCAAAATAATCCCAAACCTGTGGAAAGGTAGTAAATTAGGTTCATGCATCAGAAGGACGCTATTGACTTAGAGCGGATGCAAAGGCATTCATGACTTGCTGTTTATGAGAAAAGGAAGGGTCCAAGTAACCTTTGTATGCCTCACTTTTCCAATCCCCCTGAGCCTGGATGAGATCTGACGAAACTCCACATTCCAAAGTGAATGTAGCCCCACCCCTGCGAAAGCTATGACCAAAGAATGCTTAAGCATGTGAAGAAACGTGGA